AAAACGCCGAAAAATTTATATAATGTATATATTAATACCTTCGTCCGATCATTCTCATCTCTGCGCATAGTGAAATTTTGTCAAAAGAAGTGAGAACCTTCTTTATTATCTGGTTCTCTATGCTGTACTAAAAATTTTTGTTTCAGGATAATTTTTTGTCTAATTCTGGTAGACTATAGGTTGTAAGGGGTTTTCTCGCCACAGAGAAAACGGTTCCTTACGAATGACGCTGGTTACGGGCGGTTCTCGAGCGCCAGATTTTTGGTAATGGTTTACTCCACAAACTCTCGAAACGGCGTCGAAAGTACTCGGGTAGCTACAGATGGAGATGAAAAATTCCAGGGGTCAAAAGGTTACTTAGACACAGGTAATAGTAGGCCACAAGTAACGGGCTTTAATCGTTCCTTGGGCTGGTACAGAATTAATCACTAGCTGAAATATAAGGGGGAAATAAATTTAGGAATTAACAACCAGTAATACGGCAGGTTAACATTGACACATATATTGTGGTTAACTATTTACAATAAAAAAAATAAATTAAATATTTCAACGCCCACCCTCACGGTAATATGTACAAACCCTGAACAAAAATAAACAAACAAAACGGACGGAAATGACTTTCGAGTAGTCTCAATCAGACGTAAAGAAAAAAAATGAAATCAATACTTATAATTATCACGGTCGCAGTAAAAGTTTATTATTGAATTGTTTATTCTGTTGTTGAGTTAAAAATGCAATTTGCTATTTCATTCGGCAGTATTATTTCGGTCGTAGCAAAAATTAACTGTTAAATTTTCTAATTGGTATTTACAATCAAATGTAATTGAATGCCTCAGTAAAACAAAATATAATATTGGTTGCAGAGAATGCGAGGAGACAGGTTCGGGATAATACTAATTCCAGAGCTGAAACCGGGACCCTATAAGAGGTTTACTCACTAGTGGTTGGAAAGTAAAACCAACTAACAACCGGGATAGTACATTATCCCTGAGTGAACCGATCGTAATCACGAGCCGCTTCAAACTGGGGAATGATACTATTTAATGTCAATTGAATAACGGAGTTTTACATAAAACAAATTTAATAACCGGGATAGCACACTATCTCTGAATGAGGCGATCGTAATCACGAGCCGCTTCAGACAGGGGAATGATACTATTTGAGTTCACTTACAATAACGGAGACTAACGCAAATGAGGGTTTCAGACGGAAAATAAACTAATAACCGGGATAGCACATTATCTCTGAATGAGACGATCGTAATCACGAGCCGCTTCAGACAGGGGAATGATACTATTTTAGCTCTGTTGAAATAACGGAGACCTAACGCAAATGAATTTTTAGATATAGAATGAACTAATAGCCGGGATAACACCTTTTCTCTGGATGAAGCGATCGTAATCACGAGCCGCTTCAAACTGGGAATGATGCTATTTAAATTTTCTTAAAATTTGCAGTTCGGAGAATAAAACAAAAGAAAATGCCTCGTCGCAATTCTACAAATATAACCAATCAAAACATTAGGCAATTCCCAAACAGTTCCAATCAATTATTTATTGGATAATGTTTTAATAAACTGTATTATTTGTTCACGAAAATTTCTTGCAGTAGGAAAAATTGACTATAAGACTATTTACGATTAAATGAAAAATAAACTAATGAACGGTTAAGCCTTCCAATAAACTAAAATGAAATTTATAATTTATTCACATAAATTTCCAGTAGTAGGAAAAATTAACTATACGACTATATTTACAATCGAATGTAAAATAAATTGTTTAACGGTCAAAACTTTAAATAAACTAAAATGAAATGTATTATTTATTAACGGAAATTTCCAGTAGTAGAAAAAATTAACTATACGACTATATCTACGATTGAATAAAAAAATAAATTGTTTAACGCTCAAAACTTTAAATAAACTAAAATGAAATTTATTATTTATTTTTGGAAATTTCCAGTAGTAGGAAAAACTAACTATAAGACTATATTTATGATTAAATGAAAAATAAATTAATTAACGATTAAGCCTTCAAATAAACTAAAATGAAATTTATAAAGAACGGTGTATTCTAACAATAATAAATTAAAGTATTTTTAAATCAAAATAAATGAAATCCTAACTCAACACGGAATAAATAAAATTAAATCGGTTTCAAATAGCACGGCTTAAAGTCTCGGGCACGAAAGAAATTATCAAAAAAAAAACTATCAACAAACTTTACCTCGCGGCGTGAAATAAATTTTCGGGATCGTAGGTATTTAGCGTTTAATCGACTATTGGATTTAACGGTGTCAAAGCAAGTCTGTTCGATAAATCGGTATTTTAGGAACTAAAAATTTCTATTCAATCTCGGACCACGTTTAGACGTCGCATCCCTACCACATCAGAAAAATCCCACCATTAAAACGCGCGCAGGCACAGTACCTCGACGATGGTTTGAACAGCGATAAAACTGATGATATACAGGGCATATTCACGAAGTTGAAATTAATTGAAAATCTAAATTAATAACCGGAATTAATTAATAATAATAATGAAAATTGACTTCATTACAAGGTTTTTTTTTTATCAGGTCACAACAAAACGGCTTATTAATACCTGGAATTCCAGTACTTCTGTATTGGTAGACGATTGCTAACCCTCTGACTAGGGATTTCGCTGTCTCTAAGACGTGGCCAAATCTAGTTTACCCGCCGGCGCATGCGTTAAATCAAAAATAAGAGATTCGACCCAGTTGACAAAAGAAAATTTCATAAAAATTTAGAAAATGTTTCTGATTTAATTTTTTGTTTGGATAATTGAAGATATAAGTGGATAAAGGGCCTATGTAATAAAAACACACTTTAGATATATATTTGAGTTTATACTTTCTTATTGGAATAGTTTTCCATAGAACATTTTATTCTCCTGGAAACATTTATTTGAAAGAATATCATAACAGAATGAATTTTAGCTAAATAGGCCTTTCATATAACCAAAAAACATCGAATAAAAAAAAGTACATATATGCCCTTTATCCACTTATCAGTGTGACAATTTAAAAACTTACATAATTTAAAAACGTATATCTCACAAACGAAAGATATCAAAAAATGCTAAAAACCTTTCTAGGATAGGAAGGGGAAACTAAAATGACATAAAAAATAACTCACAAATTTGTAGTTAAACAAAAACTTAAATTTCCTTTTTAAGGTAAGGTTTCACAATTATTGATTCACTCTGTACCAGGGGCGGTTTCTCCATTGGTTCATTTGTGCAGTGAACACCCAGTTTTGTTTTAAAATTACATAAATACCAAAAATATAAATTTAATTTTAATATTTTTATTTTCATACGTGTTAAATTATATTTTTTGGTACATCATTGCTCTCTGGCTGATCGCTTCTCGGTGGCACAATATACCTAAGTATACCGTGACTGTGGCGCATTATGATGAGTGAGCCTAACACGAGTGAGACGATTTGGCGAATACATTTAGCTAAAAAGAGAAGAAAACAAGCCAACACATCCTTCAAACTGTCAATAAACACATTAATAGACCTTTTCATCATGTGATGAGCGCAAGCGCAGCCACCATGTTGAAATAGCGGTAATTCAAAAGTTTCGTACTGTTTTGATCGACAATGGCTGAGAAAGCAATATTATCTCTACAGAAAAATTAATCATTAGAAAAAATCGTCGATGGTGATTAACTTTTTTAAAACTCTATGGAAGCGCATAGTTGTGAGCAGTTGAAAAGGTGGTTGAAGTGTCTTGGACGTTTGTTACAAAGGAACAAAGTGGATTGATTGAGAGGTTAAGTGTATCAATACTTCTTAACTGTGTAAAAAATTAATGAAAACAAATAATAATTATAACTCTAGTCTAATTAATTATGCCAACCAACTATTATTATTGACAAGGGGGGTAGCCATGTGTGAGTTGAGGTAATTTTAAGGTGAAGGGGGAGAAAAAGTCCTTTATATCTCACAAGGAAAGTTAATGTTTAATTATTCAGTAAAACATTGAGTGCGACCGGTTTCGAAGTATCATCACTTGATCTTCAGGCTCGCCTAGTGGAAAGGAGAATATGTGGTGCAAGGTGTGTTAACTTTGAGCCAACGATATATAAAATAGTAAAAAAGAAAACTCACCATACTCTCCATCCACTAGGGAATACTACAAACAAGTTTCATCAAATGTGGGGGATGAAATAAATTGTAAAATAAACAATGTTACAAGTTATATAAAAGTTAAAAATATTTGAAAAACAAATATTAGTCAGTTTAAATAGTTAAAAATTTAAAATTTTCAAGACTATACAAAACAACTACATTAAACAGATTAAAAGAGAAGGCTTATTTTAAACATAATTATTAGTGTTACTTAACCTAACATTTTTGAAAGGAGACCTGTCAAGTTAAGGCCTCTAAAGGTGGTGGTAAGTAATAACAAAAAATTCTGTCATAAGTATATCCATTATATTACAAAGAAAAGTCAGTTTACTAATACCATTTATAGATGGTTTTCAACGTATTAAAAACAAAACAAATATTACACTAACTAATATATTCATTTATTAATAGTTTTAGTGCTTGAAATCAGTATGATGTTGATAATAATAACTACACTTAATACAAACTCAAATAATAAAAAAATAGCGATATTGGCTCCTGTACAAAGTTTTGTACCGAACTTACAAATGATAAAATTATTGGAAAAAGTGAACACCCGCCACTGCTCTGTACAATTATTATTTACATCATTGGTTAGTGTTTTTTATATGCTTTTTAATTACAAGTAGGGGTTAGTTCCCCTTTTCTATCCTAGAAACGGTTTTAAGCATTTTTTGATATTGTATTTAGTTTTTAAATTGTCACACCGTATATAACTGCAAAAAAGGTTATAAAAATAGGTTTATTACAATATGAAGGTTCTGCGTTTCTGGTATTTGTTGATTGAGACATTTGCAGGCGTTTCTTTCTGGGTCTTGTTAAAATAAAACTACCTTATGATAAATAAAGCTTACATATTTGGTAATATATATTTTTATTTACACGTAAAAATAAGTTCGTCTTTGAGTTTAAATCACATAGGAAGAATTGAATAGAAAAAATAAATAATATCTATAGAATTAAATCAGTCATACTGAAATATCAAATATGGTTTATAAGAATATTCAGTTGCTCTTTTCTATTGCAGAGCGATCCACGTTCTCCTGAGTAACATTAGAGCCTGACGATGAAACATACCAAATTTCAGAAGCTTTTCTGTAAGAAAATTTTCATAATCATTCAAATCATATATCGTTGCGATTTCAACTCACCTCGTGCACTTTTCTGGAAGGTTCAATGATTGCCAATACAATACGGCTGCTAAAATTAGAGACCATGTTCTTAATGGTCCTAATATGAAGGCCAGAGTACCATATGCGAGCCAAAATAGATAGGCCATGATAACTTGCATTACAAATACAATGGAAAATGGCAAATGGAAAAATATTTTGTTTTTAAAAGACAATCCTTTTCCGGTTTTTATGGTTATCTCTTGAAACCTAAAAAAAAAATGGATGAAATAGATACGCTTTGGTTTACATTAAGTTTGTCGCCACATAATTGTGACGAAAGAAACCTTACACGTTGTCGAATTTCTTCCCACAAAAATTTTGTATTGACTTTTGTTTAAAATTTTGAATACCCCCTATTAAAAAAGGAAAAAGAATTGAAAACATCAATATGGGGTTTTTTGTTTATTACAATCGTTTAAGATTTTTATTTAACGATTTTTACATTTGTATCCTAAGATATATAATACATATTCGAAATTATAATTTTTAAGTTTGGCAACGTAGTACTATTTAAGCTATTTTGCTGACAGCGTAAACTGTGATTTCCGATTAATTACCTATTTAATTAAAACATTTAAAAGGGTGAAGAAATGTGTATTGCGCCAAAATACATGGAATACATTCCTTGTAAAAGTTGGCAACATTGTTGTTATGTATCGATACTGCCATGTGTAGGATAGGAGAAATGCATAGTGAAAATGCACAGCTCCACGCAGCTACTTCTTCATTGCTCTGGAGGTGAGAGTAGTAAGTAGTAGAGTTGTGATTCGTTTCTTGGTGACCGAGGGTGCTGGAACACGCGGAATTCAACGTCGCATGTCTGCAGTGTATGGCAAACACTACATGTGACAAGTGTACACGAGTGGCAGAAGAAATTCCGCGAAGGAATGCTGTCGGATGGAATCGTCCTTTTTTAATGATAACGCCCGTTCCAATACTTCCAATCTGGTGAGGGATGAGCTGCAGATATTCGGCTGGGAAATGCTTGAACATTTTCCGTACATCCCAGATCTTTCTCCTTGTGACTTTCACATTTTTGATGGCTTGAAAAGATATTCATGTACGTCGGTTTCATTCAGACAAGGAAATGCACAAGTGGCGAGGTTGTGGACCCGTCGGCGACATCCTCTTTCGACCAGTATATTAGTATGTTAGTATAAAACTGCTAATGATTTAGTCACCATTGTGGAATCATGCATATCTCGTCAGGGCCTCCTCTGTGGGATCTTTTAATTTGTAGATCCCATCCTTTCCATTTAATATTCTTCCATTATAAATTAATGTTATGGTTTATATGTAAAATATATTTGGGTAAAAAAAAATAAATGTACCTATATAAAAATAAAAATGTTCGCCAATTAGATGCGCTCAATATTTTGTCTTTGCCATGTAATAGAAAATTATCAAAGGATGGAGGCTGTTTGACGCATATGACGCAATGCATATGTGAAGAAGGTACGTAGTGCATGCAATTCACTACACTATGGTTGTCCAAAAAGTGCCTGACTTTTGCGATCCGATGCCTCGCATGTGTTTGGCTGTTTCTGGTTCCTCGTTCCCATTATACACGCCTGCTTTGTTCAGATGTTCCTTTACTGGGACATGTCCAGTCATGAGTCCTGTCATTGTATTCAGCTGGTTCCTATTCATGAAGAGTACTTCTTCTGTTCTTTTTGAACATGGTCTTCCCATGTGCTTGTTTTGGGACATTATCCCAATAGTTGTGTTTTCTCAGAACCCAGTCATTTATGAATCCTCGAACTGCACTTTTTGGTACGCCAAGGTTTATATCTGGTTCCAGGGGCCCTTTTCTCGAATGTCTATTTCTAAATGTCACACGCGTCATTGATGTTATGTCGAACAAGAACGCAAAAACGTATTCTCCAATGGCGAATTCGACATTTGCTGTTAGACAAAGTCGAGTGGTATTCAACCACTCGACATTTTAATGTCGCATAACTTTTTAAAGATAATGTTTTAATATGAGTGTTGTGACAGTGATAATTTATATTTACTTTTAAGAGAAATGAAAATAAGTATTGTATAAATTGTTTTTAAAAAAAAATTGATTTGATTAATTACAATTTCACCTAATTTATCAATTATTAGTTCTGTCTGTCCAAGATATTTAATCCCTGTTATTAAGAAATTTATATAGCTCTATTTTTCAAATTGAAAGGAAAAAGATTATATCACAATCTTTTTATATAGTGTTTAGATTATATTGTATTTCTTCTTTCTTTTTAATCTCTTACCAAATTGCACTTCCAATTTTCTATTTAATCCCTCATAAAATTTCAGTTAAAAAGATTATATTACATTTTCTCTACTTTCTAATTAGTATTTATCAAAAAGATATATATTCGGGATATATTTTCAGTATTATTTTGTATTACTAAGATATCCTTTAAGTAATTGTCTGCTGTTATACACTCGTATTGTATGTTTCTATCCAATGTTGTCAGATGTTACCATTCGCCAAATATGTCACCGATTTTAAAATGTCTATTTGTCTTTGAGAATACAGAAAGTGTCAGTCGATCGACATTGTGATAGACATTCAAGAATAGGGCCCCATTATATCTTCTGACCCTCTCTTTGTTAGTTCGTCAGCCTTTTCATTACCCTCGATCCCTTGATGACCTGGCACCCTAACTAGTTTTACTCGACAAACTGATTAGATCATCCTCCAAATTATAAGCGTTAGACTCCGTAGTCAATCAGAATATACTACAATAGAAGGAAGCCTAAACTCGAACGATAATTGGTCACTCGATGTAAGGCCGAAACAAGTTTGCATTTTTTATTTTTAAATTTAGAGCAACACAAAACTTGAAAATATAAACATATGACAATATAACATCTTAATGTGAAACATTTTCTAAGCAAACTAAATTAAAAAAAATGTAGTTGTTAGGTTTATTTGTGATAAGATTTATAATAAAACAGTGTTCAGTACCAGGTGAATTTAAATTCAGTCACACATTCAAGAAATACAAGCACCTCAAAGACATCAACAGGTATTTTTTCCTAAATTACAGTCCACTTAAGATTTTGGGTCAAGATATGCCTTATTAATCGATGATCTAATATTTTGGCAGTATTCCGCAATGACAGTACTAGCACAACTGAAATTGATCGTCCCATCTCTACTTTTAAATAAAACTATTTTGTATTGATTGAAACGATAATAAGCTTTGACGTTACAAAAAATATCTTGACATGAATTGAATTAGGTCAAAAAATATGAATGCATAGAAACTAAACATTTAACGACTATGAAGACTAGTCTCCATACTAACGACTAACTTAATATGCAGTATATAAATGCTCTATTAAATATATAACAATTCTTTCCCTTGTAATTTCTGAGACATTCAATAGGTTATTCTTTGAATGGGATTACGGGTTCTAGTGGATCTCCTCAAAATATCCGGGGCTTTGGAAGGATGTGACGGAATTTGATTTTCTTGATTCTCTTGAAGACGTGGATTGGGGTTTTCTTTATAATTAAATGGTTCATATTCAAGGTCTTGAGTCAGGTCAGTTATTTCAGTCTGGCTAGTTTCTTTTTGATGGTCAACAGTCGTCTCGTGATCTTTGTTTTCTTTAGATTCCAATGGCATACTTAATTCGTTAGATATAATTGTATCATCAATATTATACTCACTAGTATTTGAAAAATTATTAGAATGGTCAACATTGCTGGGACGAAGTTGGTCATAATGACGTTTAATTTTATATGCATCATCTAGTTCCACTAGAAATGTAGTCGACCTAAACGTTGAATTACTATGCCGTACTTCCACTTAGTAGGTGTTGAATGGTTTCTAGATTGTACTCGGTCACCTATATTGAGGGATTTCTTAAAATCTATAAGTATTCTGTTGTTTTCCTTTGATTCATGCCGTAGCAAATCTAATTTTGTCCTAATATTCCTTCCAAATAAATTTTCAGACGGTGACTTTCCTGATGATAATGGTGTATTCCGATACCTAAACAATATTCCGCATAATTTTTCATTAAGATCTCCTGGTTCATGCATCATTCGTTTAAGTTTTGCCTTAAGTGTCTTACAGTATCTTTCTGCTTGTCCGTTTGTAGACGGATGGCCTGGTGCAATGAATCTCTGACTTATCCCATTTCTTATACAAAAATCTGTGAACTCTTTAGATTTGAATATTGTAGCATGGTTACTCACCAACATTTCAGATAGACCTATACAACTAAAAATCTCTTTGAGATAATAAATAGTATTTTTGGTCGTTGGAGCACTTTTCATCATCATGATCTCTGGCCATTTCAATTTGGCGTCAACATGAAAAAGTGGTGTCCTAAAAATGGACCTGCGTAATCCATGAGTACTCTTTGCCAGTTTCTCTCAGGACATTCTCAATGGTTTATGGGTGATTTCTTTGGATCTTTTTGGACGTTACTATATGCTAAACTTTTAACTAAATTTTCAATATCAGAGTCAATGTTTTTCCAATAACAATAGTTCCGGGCCAGTGCTTTCATCTAATCGATTACTAAATGTGTAGAGTGTAGTTCTTGTAAAACAGATGCTTGCAAGCATTTTGGTATAATAACACGGTGGCCTCTGAAAAGTATAACATCTTGCAAAGATAATTCAGGATCTCTTCTGCTTCCTTGAAGTAATTCTTCTTTGAGCCTAGATAAATCAGGATCATGCTTTGTTTCTTCTATCATATGTATTTATTTTATGAAATAGATCAATATTTGTTAAATATACGATGTATTTTTCTTTTTCTAGAGTTAATTTAATAGGGTTTCTTGAAAAATAATCTGCGTTTGAATGTTCTGAAGACTTCCTATATTCGATGTAGTTAAATCCAGCTAAAAACTGCGCATAACAAAACATTCTAGTTGTTGATAAGGTTGGTAGTTGTTTTTGCGGATTTAAAATTGTAAAAAGTGATTTATTTTTCACAATTAACGTAAATTTACGTCAGTAGATATAATAAAATAGTCTCTTACAGAAGCCCAGTATACTGCAGTAGCTTCTTTGTCTAGCTGACTATAATTCTGTTCAGCTTTGGTTAAAGATCTGGATATAAAAGCTACTGGCTTTTCTGTACCATCTTGGAATCGATGAGGTTGTCAAGATTACATTTAGGTCTGGATTGAATGGTATTAACACCGGATCACTTGCAATTTCAGACTTCGCTTGAAGAAAGGCTTGTTCACAGGATTTTTTCCATTTAAAGGGAACATTTTTTCTGAGCAAGCGGTTTAACAGATGAAAAACAATTGAAGCATCTGGAATAAATTTAGAATAGTACATTAATAGTCCTAAAAACTGTTGAACTTCTTCTTGATTTTTGGGCCGGGGTGCATTCTGGACTGCTGGAATTTTATCGTTTGACTTCTGTAGGCCTTTACTATATATAGTGTGACCCAAATATTATCTTTTTTTTTTTGAAAAACTTACACTTATTTTTATTAAGGTAAAGGTTGTATTTACGTAGTCTTTCCAATACCTTAATTAGTCAAAGTTTCCATTGAGATATAGAGGGACCCTGGACCAGTATGTCATCGAAATACAGGGCCGTTCCTTCTAAATCATGAAAAATCTGGTCTAAAATTTGGTGAAATTCATTGGGTGCTGTTTTGATTCCAAAATATAACCTATTGTCCAAATAGGTACCTCGATGTGTTGACAGTACTTGAATTTTTGTGCTTTCGTTATCAACTTAAATGTGTAAATAAGCTTTACATATATCTAAAATACAGAAGTATACTCCATTTTCCATTTATTGAAAATATCTTCTATTCTGAGTATAGGGTAGCGATTATCTTGAAGTTGACTATTCAGGTGCTTGTTGATTTTAAATATGTACTACTCATGATATGATGTTTCATTGTAATTTTGTTATATAGTGGATACAACAGTGTTCCTAGACGAGATATGGTATGGAAAAGGTCACCTGATTCTACCTATGACCTTATAGACCGTCAGATAGTGACAGGTTTAGGTGCCCCATTTTCGCATACAAGACTCGAAGAGAGTTGAAAAGTACATCGATTTTAAGTAGAATGAAAGTAAATTTACGAGTGGCTCCTGGGGATAACACATGAAAAATTCGATTTTCCCCAACAAAAATGAAAGGTTATTTGTTGCCCATATTTCCACGCCAGCTGTTTTCATTATATGATTAATTAAAAGAACTAGGCTTCGGAAAACCAAAGGCTTTAATGTTGCAAGTGGCTAAAGGGTTGAAATAAGGGCATAATTTTCTAAGGAAAAATCGAGATTTCACCAGATTTTTCCTCACAAGCCCATCGAAGGTATGAGAACGTACATCGTCACTAGTCCGAAAAATATATTTTCTTGAATGACCTGGGGGTCGGAAAATTTTTCTGATAAGGAAAACCGAATTTTCCATGTGTTATCCCCAAGAGCCACTCGTAAATTTTCTTATATTCTACTCAACATCGATGAACTTTTCAAACCTCTTAGAGGCTTGTATGCGAAAATGGGGCACCTAAATCGATCACTATCTGACAGTCTATTATAGATAACTCAATGTCCAGCAACCGTTTTAGATTTGTTTTGTAAAATATATATTGCTGTGATAAGGCAAACTTAAATATTCAAGATAGATTTTCAAAGGTTCGACCTCTGATGCAATGAATCAAAAAATTATCGATTTGGCACTATAAGGAGAACATCATAGCTTAAACGAGTCAATGGTTCCATATTATGGAAAACATGAAACCAAGGGATACAAATTCCGGATGGGAACTACTAGACTAGGTTATGTTGAGTGGTTTGACCCTTATTAGGGATCTTCTACCACTATTCCAGATAAATATAAACTTCTTGGTTTGGGGGCTAGTGTTGTCTTACAATTTGTTGATGCCCTTTATAACAAGGCTTCCAAATTCTCCTATGATAAATTTTCGACAATTATTTCACCACTATAGTACTTTTGGAAGAGCTAAAATCGAGGGATACAATAAGGGAAAATCGCTTGGGTAGAGACTGTGAGATTATGACTTCAAACACCCTCAAAACGAAAGAACGAGGTTCTTTTGACTATTATACTGCCGAAGACAGCGAAATCGTCATTTGCAAATGGAATGATAATATCGTTTCCATAATATCCATCCATCATTCTGTATATCACACAAAGCAGGTAAAACGATATTCCCAAAAGGAAAAAAGAGGGTGCTGGTTGATCAGCCTAATCTTAAAAAAATATATAACGAAAACATATGGGTGGCGTGGATCGTGTAGATGAAAATATTAGCCACTATAGGGTAGCAGTTCCTGGTAAAAAATGGTATTTTCCCATAATAAGCCAAATAGTTTATTTGGCAGAACAAAACACCTGGCAAATACATAGAATCGGAGGTGGAAAAATGGATCATTTACAATTTCGTCGTTCAGTTACAGCATTCTTGAATCCTTCAAAAAGACAACGAAGAGAGGACCCAGTAAACCCTCAGCCACGGGATAAATCACCTTATTATATATAAAGATATTCAAACACGTTGTGCTTTGTGACACAAAAAACATTTGTTGCGTGAAATGTAATGTTCCACTGCATCCGAAACAATGTTTTTATGCATATCATACGAATTAAGCATTTATGTTTTTTTACTTTGAATTTTATAATTAATATCAATAAAAAAAATTAAGTTTGTAATTTTTTTGCATTTGTAATTTTTTATTACCCATAGACACTGATTATATGCCACCTGTCTTTTAAAAGGACACCCTTTTTTGAAAAAATACAATATTTTTAACAAAGTTTCTTTTAAAACTTTAATTTTGTAGCAAATAATAAGTTTAAAAATTAAATAATATAAATATACAAAAAAAAAATTTGGCCTTATCTGGGTTAACGTGTGATTTAAAACCACATACTAATAAAAGGCTAACCAACGAAACACATTACTGCTATGTTCAGTAGGGTTTGGAATCGAACCTGGGACACTGCAATACTTGGCATTACTACTCGTATTAGTAATATATAACAAATTACACGTAACTTGGGTTATTACTATAGTCAATGGCTTACATTGAACTAGAGAATTATCCAAGGTAGTACGTTGTAAATAAAGTTTTTTGTGCAGATTTGTATGCTAGAGATAAATATCTTTAAATTATTTTAACATATTGTTTGGTCTTGTTTTGAATAATTAATTTATTGATTTCCATATAAATACCAATTTTTATCACTCTACATTTATTTCAATATTTATTCCTTAAATATAAATTATTTATTCTGCATTTATTTTAAATGATATACAAACGTTACCGTTTATTCACTTTCATTATTATTCTCTCCTCCCCTTTCCAAGACCAGTTATGAAATATTCCGAGCATTTGTGAAGCCTCAGCGTTTCTACCCCTAAGAACTAGACGAGTCTGTAACTAGTTGCCAAAGCCGCTCTACTATGCTAATAAAGAATAATTTTATTATATTTTTAATTTCATTTTTTTCCACTGGGGAATGCATATTCCTTCGGGACTCCAGGACCCTTTGGCTGGTGACAGTGCTGCCTTAATCCCTTAATAGTATATTGACAACAGTAAAGACCTATCAGTTGTTACAAATAGATCTAGTTGGTTGTTACATTTGGTGACAACAGTGGTCCTTCAGATTAACTGATTGTTACCAACGAGATATTAGCCTGTCCTGTCACAATAAAAAATATTGGTATCGTTAAAGTAAATGTTTCCAAAGGAATCTACGTGTTTAATTGGACACAATATGTAAAAGACTGGGAATTAAATACACACTAAAAATGTAAATGGACGAGTTTTTAATGTGTTTAATTACTTTGATACTGCTATCATCAAATGCTTCGTCTTGTAGATAGCTCGACAGAAAAAAATTACATACATTAAGATAAACTAACATTGTTAAAATTAAAATAATAGACTCTGGTACTAGAAACAGTCAATGAATCACCACAACCAGAATTACTTTTGGTTCAAAAGGTGCAATAGTAATAGTATAGGGGTATAAACGAGCCATGAGGTTTTTTTGCTTTGAAATTATAGATCGCACTGTTGCCTTAAACAGAGACATAAAATATTAAACAATCTGATAAGAATCATTAAACCCATATGAGTGCCTATGCTATTCCGAAAAAGCAAACAAATCCAAACAATCGGCGAGGCAGAACATGTTGTCACTATATGTATTAATCTTATAAAAGAACAGGGTATCTAATTGTTTTTATATAAATGTCATTTACAGTGTTTTTAAGTGAATGTTGTTACCATGTTTTGCATAGGACAGCTGAATAGTTATATATCAATAATTCTCCATAAAGACTTACCTAAAATGAACCATCTTCGCCATAATGAATGTTATCGGTATTTGGAATGTAATCAGCTAAAAGAAAACACACACTGAAAAAATATAATAAGTATTGTTGTAACTTGAAAACTAGTCAATCCAAATAACTTTCGACTTCTAGTAAATTTAAGTAAAACAAATTCGGTAGAAGTTCAAAACCGTTAATGATTGATTGTCGCTGATTGTATACAGCGCTGTAATTAAAATTTAGTAGACCATGACCAAATGAATATGATCAAAATAATTGTTTTAGGGCCGTTACTTTCTGTCTCTATTTAAACACATGATTAAGAAATCGGACGCTAAATTTAATCAAGCTAGTTAACCATGATTAAATCATATTGAGTACTTTCTGACCTAATTTATAATCGATTACGAAATCATTGTTTAACGTGGGTTGGCAGCAATGAAATTTGACAGATTGTCATTATTTGTGATAGGTATGTCAAAATAAAATAAATAGAAGACAGTTTAAATTAAAGCTGCGAATAGTTTATAAAAATTAAAATTATTCTAAAAAACTTAAATATGGACGTGTCGAAATCCAATATTAGGACGAAAAGGGGAAGTAATTTTTCTAAAATTGAAATTCGTTCATTAATGATGAACATTTTTCAAGAAATTCATACAATAGAAAATAAAAAAACTGATTGTGTAATGTTAAAAGAAAAACAACAAGCATGGAAAAGAATTGAAACCACGTTTAATTCTTCCAACACCTCAAATAGAGATCTACATTCTCTTAAGATGAAATATGAAAATATAAAGAGAGACCTAAAGAAAAAAATGTCTGCACTCCGTTTGAGTAAATTAAAAACTGGAGGTGGACCTCCTGAAGATATCCCTTTACTGTGGTATGAGGAGAAATTGTATTCGATATTACAATTAAATGTGGACGGATTAGAATCCATGGGAGATTCTGACGATATCTCAAATAATATCGTGCAAGATTCTGATGATGTAGAAATACCAACGATTGCAAGCGATGATGCATCACAAGCCAGCAGTAAGATTTCAACAAATGAAGGAGCGGTCATTACAAATGACAATAAGGTAGGGATTGCAATGATCGTTTCTTTAAAGTAGTAACATTTTCAATATTAATAATTAGTATTTTAGATTTTCATACATATCTAATTATTTTAGGGTTCCAATAAGATTGAGGTCCCTGTTACGATATCCACACCCCACGCTCGCAGTACTGCCAAAAAATGGAACTTAAAGAAAAGGAAAAGGGTAACTGTGGCAGAAGAGGATAGGAAAGAGAATCTTGAAAATTTTGACAAACTAGCAAAGTCAAAGACCGATTTAACTGAAATACAAAAAAAATATTATGAAGTAGAATTGAAAATTAAAGAAGAGGAACTGGAAAGAAAAAGAAATGATTCAAGTTTAAAAAGTCAAATTTTAGAAGTAGAGTTAAATACAAAAAATGAACAATATAACGAAGTTCTTAGAGAAAATTTGAGAAAGGCACAAATGTTCAACCATTTAGAAGAAGAACAAAAGGTTAAATTGGACATTTTAAAATGTGAACTAAATGCAAAACTAAAATAAATTGTGGTAAAAACTAATAATTAAGTTTATTGACTTTTTCGTATGTTTGTTATCAGTGATAGTTTTTTTTTGTATTTGTAGTTGTAGTTGTTTATAATAATATATTATTGCTTTCCAAAATAACGTTTTATTAAACATCAAAGATAAAAGGAAAACAATAACTATAATAATGTTTCAAAATAATCAATTAATTCTTGTTGAACTGCATTTTCTAACAGAATATTTTCATCTTGTTGAGGAAACTCATTTGCCTCAGGGACATTTATCTCTTCTTCATCATCAATGCTGTCCCTATTCAATACAGCTATATTGTGTATTATAGCTGTTGCTATTATTATTTGTTGAGCTAGTGGTAACGCACATCTCATTCCACATGAAAGAATTGGAAATCTCCGTTTTAAAATCCCAAAGGTCCTTTCAATTACACATCTAGTTGATATATGTGCTTCATTATATAATTGCTGAGCAGCTGTAATTGGATCTGCAACAGGCGTCATCAGATATTTTTTTAACGAATAACCACTATCTCCTACTAATAAGAAATGGCCAAACTCTCCACTTTCAAAGCGAGCTCGTAATAATGAATTACTAAAGATATGACTATCGTGACAAGAACCAGGCCATCTAGAAACTATATCCATAATATAATTAGAGCAATCACATACAACCTGTACGTTTATAGAAAACCATCCCTTTCGATTCCTATACACTTCAGCATTATCTCCACCTAAAAAATTATTTAAGTATGCATCAAAATAATAGTCTGTATAATTCAATATGTGATTGTATTGAAATGTAGAAAATGACAGACCTGGAGATTGAATAGGAACATGTGTACAGTCGAGCGCCCCTATAACTTTAGGAAAAAGGGCTGTTTGAAAAAACCTCACTTGCACGTTTTTCTTTTCTTCTGCACTACCAGGAAATTTTATATATTTTGGACGTAATAACACTATCGCATTTGTGACCCTTTTTATAATACGTCCAGCAGTACTTTTATGTAATCCACCAAAATCACCAATAGAAATGTAAAAGTTTCCTGTTGCATAAAATCGCAATGTAATGAGTAGTTGTGTTATAATATCTACTTCATGATATCTAAAATCATTAAATGTATGAGTACTGTTGTAATCTTGTAAATATACAAACTTACTGTTTCTTAGTATGTTCTAAATAAGTTTCAATTTCCATCGATAGCATTTTTGCAGTTTTTTTTGTAATTCGAAACCTCCTGTAAAAATTTTTATCATCTAGTTCAACCAAAAAATTTACTCGGGGAAGTATATTATAAGTCCTCATACTATTTATAAAATTCACTATTTCTTCATCATTATCATTAAATAAATCATTTAGCTCATCAAGCTCCATTTTTAAACTTATTTTGTATCAGTTACTACAAATTCATTTATAAAACATCAATGTCAGATAAAAATTGAGGTTACAAATGCTTGATTATAACCATAACCACTGTCATACGAGTAGTTATATTTAATAGATTGCATTACTATTTTAAACAGTGTTTAACTTCTAACCGATGATGAAAGTATCCATTACTGGCAGTTAAATTTAATCAATTGTTATATATAGTTAATCAAGACTGAAAGTAACGGCCCCTAGCGTATTTATTTAAACGGTTTTGTCAATATGAACATACAATTATTAGCTTTGTTCGCGGTAACAATTCTGAACTGATTCAGAATTACTAAATCATACTTTGAGCGCATGCCCGTTTCATTATCAATTCTGAATTTTTACCCCGCGCGCAATCCCTATTATATTTCGGAGTTTCAGATAAAGATAAGCGGTTCAAAACCAATAATAATTTTACCGCGAACGGAAGATAGAACCAATAGTTCAATTATTTTTGTTCCGCGAACGCTTTTTAACTACTGCGCCTGCGAAATCGTTACTATTAGTAATAATTCGGTTCAGGATTCTTACCGCGAACAAAGCTATAGAATAACAATAACCATACAGTACTTATAGCATATGACACCGAAAAGGCGTTTGATTCTGTCTGGACCATCGAGATAGAATAAAATAGAAACGACATAAGCACTATTTTGCGATATGACAGATGGACGCACTTCGAGTGTCGGAAAAGTGTAGTGAACATAGCGACTTGAGTTGTACTTTAATTTATTTAAAGCCAATAATTTTATGAAGACTGACGGAATGAAAATGATTTTATATCATTTAAATGAAGCTATTTAAAAAAAAATGGCATTTATTATTACCAAAACTGACTATCTCCACTATCTTGAGTTTAACATATGACATAAAAGTGTAATGCAAAGGTGCAGACACTTTAGCATCGTCATAGCATCTCCTCATTCTATCTCAATGGTCTGGACCAATGGGATGATCCACGAAATACGTGTGATGACTATTCCATACACATTTTAAAAGTAATTCATTCAAATTTACATAATAGACAATATTGCATCAAAATTAACAGAAAATGATCAGGACCTTACAGGTCAGAGGCGGGACTACCAATAGGAAATAATGTGGTAAAGACGGGTACTGTACCCCGACAACACGTGTGTTTAAAACCTCCTATAATGCGGAGATAGCAACCAGAAGGTTGGATATCCATGTCAACAGAACGATAATCCTCTTGTTAGAGAACAACAAAATGAAGATCAACCAGTCAAAAACAGTAAGAGCATCGCTAACGAATAAATTTAGATATCCAAGAAAAACTTAAGATTCAAATGCAAAACATCGAGATATCTGAAGACTTCAAATACTTAGATTTTTATCTAGATATGGAATTGTTATTATTCACAAAACATGACAGATTGGCTAAAACGAAAATCATAATTTAACAATTAGGCATTCCAACGACTTGTCAAAATGGTGCCAGTGGGAACTGACAGTTTAGATATGGCAACCCTGTGAGCCTGTTTTCATTGACATTGGGGTCTATTCTGTAACAATTCCTTTATATTTAACGGCCTTTAAAAATATTGACGGCCTATAAAAATATGTTCGTATTCGTTAATTTACTTCTGTCATTATTTAAACAGATTTCTTTAAGATAGTCCTCTAATATATTTTAAAGATCCGTTTAAATAATGACAGAAGTAAAGAAGAAAATATTTTTAAAGGCCGTTAAATATAAAGGAATTTTTACAGAATAGACCCCATTGTCTATTTTATTTTACATTGAGTAACCTAAAATTTTCAATTTGAATATTTTCAATATTTTATTTTAAATAAATATTTCAACTCAAAAATTCAAATTAATCATTATAAATTAAAAATAAATTAAGCATAAATTAAATATCGTAAATTAACACTGTCAATAAAATATTTGAATTAAAACACTTTGAAAGATTGCTCAAAGCGGGTCGTTTGCGAGCGGCCATATTGCCTGGTAAGTGTTCATTAATTTGAATCGGTTTAGTAAAAATGTGTTATAAAACCAATTTATAGCCTTTAAATAAAAAAAAAAAAAATGCATACATTTTTACTTCAAGACATAAACTTATGTTTATTTTTAAAACATGGATGATCAATCTTTATAACTATCTTTTTCATTGACCCTATCAAACCAACAGGCCCACAGTTTTGCCATATTATGACCTATATGTCAGTGGCATGTCATTTCAAACGGGCAGCCATTTTGTTTGGAATGCCTAATACCATATATTGTCACATCAATGTTACTCAAGAGAACAAAAGTTTATTATTTAAACAAATCAGACCCATAATAATATATGGATGTCTAGTCTTCTGCACGATGTCAGAAACTAATTATAAAATATATAAAAAAAAAACTGTCTGAGGCTAATTATAAGGTGCGGAAGGTACGAATTTACATGAGAGGATAAAAATATTGCCTATAAAGCAGTTCATAGTAAAAAATTCAAATTACTATCAAAATTGTCTCCCAGCAGAGCTGAAGGCACATTAATAGCATCACAAACGAAAAACAACGCTAGGAAGCATGTTTGGCTTCAGTGTACAGGCGCTAACAAGGACAAAAAATAAGTCTAAAAATAACTTTGTTAACATTATATTTCAGATAAATTTAATGTAAACAAAGCACAATGCGTATCAATTATATGCGATATATTTGGTTTAGAATGTCGTTTAAGGAGTTTGTTCAGTTTTTGTTGAATTTTAAGTTGAGTCACTTTCTTATGAGTGGAGCAATAGAAAATACGGACAGTACAGGAAGTATGAAAGTAATACGGGAAGTATAAAGATAAGAAATTGATTTGAACTAGTCTCTTACTTCTCATTCACAGTAAGGAATAAATTTATCAGAAGTACTTTAAAGTTAAATACAATTTTAACTTGGATTAAATGTATGATTAAAAAATCAGCAATAAATAAAATTATTGGGAGTACAACAACTAGAACAATGTGATATACAAATACCAAACAAAATTAGAAGCGACTTATTAAATGATATATGTCATAATTCTCAATACCAGTAGTAGAACTAGAGCAGAGCAGCACTGGATCACTTTCGTAACCCTACTATCCAGTTCTCTAGTAAGATTTCGTGCGCCCTGAAGAAGTATCAGAAGGAGTGATCAACAATGACCAAAAGGTGTGTGTGAGAGATAGCTTCAGGTAAACAGAGAGATTAAAAGCTGATCAAGACCTGAATAATAACAGATCAAGACAGGTCGTTAAGATATAAAATAATGCAAATCCAGATCTATACTGTTGTTGATCAAGTCTTGATCTGTTTTTAATCAGATCTTGATCAGCCTTTAATCAGGTCTTGATCAGCTTTGACCCTCTTTAATCCTCTTCCTCTTTCCTACAATATGGACTAGGCTAGGCGAGACTCGTCAATACCCTTCGGGCTCACCTTTATAGCTGACATTTGACACACCTGTACTTATGACACCTACCTACCTACCTACCTACCTACCTACCTACCTACCTACCTACCTACCTACCTACCTACCTACCTACCTACCTACCTACCTACCTACCTACCTACCTACCTACCTACCTACCTACCTACCTACCTACCTACCTACCTACCTACCTACCTACCTACCTACCTACCTACCTACCTACCTACCTACCTACCTACCTACCTACCTACCTACCTACCTACCTACCTACCTACCTACCTACCTACCTACCTACCTACCTACCTACCTACCTACCTACCTACCTACCTACCTACCTACCTACCTACCTACCTACCTACCTACCTACCTACCTACCTACCTACCTACCTACCTACCTACCTACCTACCTACCTACCTACCTACCTACCTACCTACCTACCTACCTACCTACCTACCTACCTACCTACCTACCTACCTACCTACCTACCTACCTACCTACCTACCTACCTACCTACCTACCTACCTACCTACCTACCTACCTACCTACCTACCTACCTACCTACCTACCTACCTACCTACCTACCTACCTACCTACCTACCTACCTACCTACCTACCTACCTACCTACCTACCTACCTACCTACCTACCTACCTACCTACCTACCTACCTACCTACCTACCTACCTACCTACCTACCTACCTACCTACCTACCTACCTACCTACCTACCTACCTACCTACCTACCTACCTACCTACCTACCTACCTACCTACCTACCTACCTACCTACCTACCTACCTACCTACCTACCTACCTACCTACCTACCTACCTACCTACCTACCTACCTACCTACCTACCTACCTACCTACCTACCTACCTACCTACCTACCTACCTACCTACCTACCTACCTTTTGCAACCTCTCACCTCTCTCGCACAAATTCCTGTTATTATCGATCACTTCTTCTTTGGATACTTCTTCAGGACTCACGTCACCCTACTAGAGAACTGAATGGTAGGGTTACCGAAGTGATCCAGTACCGCTCTAGTTCTACTACTAATAATACCTTTAATAAAAAATGGGAAACATCTAATACACATTGTGTCGTACAGTGTATGCACAAAGAAAACACAACTGTGTTTTTTAATCTACAGAAAAAAGAGCATATTAAACTAAATTACATATATTACTTTTACAAAAAAAAAATATTACATGAATTTAAATAAATTTGTTAAAATCAATATCATACGTAAAAATTCACTTCACCTCTTTCCGCAAAGAAATATATAATAAAAAAGAAAAATAATTCTAGGTGATTTAAATTTGCTAATAAATAGTGAAATTTTACTCTATTTCAAAAATAAAGGTATCTACTTATGAGCCTAGTTCATATTTTTTGCCCTCCTTTGAATGTGGTACTTGTTTTTATAATTTATGGGGGTCTTATTAGGTTTTATGCCATGAGCCAAATTTTAATAAAAATAACATTTCCTGAGGAATCAATAAAGACATGTTTCCATAAGGTGAAGACTTTTTAGCGACACACTGTATAATCTGTACATACCAAGTTGTGATAGTGACATTTGTACAGAAAATAGTGTTTCGGCATGTGCAGTGTGGACAATATTATTTTCTAACAGTTTATCCCACCTCATGAGAAAACAATAACTTTTAATATAAACAATTCGTGACGCATATAGCAGTCACGAGTACAGAGGTTTGTGCACGAGCTCTGAGACGAGTGCCGCAAAACACCTTGTCCGGGAAAACTAATGAATAAAGTACTTCCATTTAATTAACTTACTAACAGAAACGTTTACACTTTTTATTTGCATGTACACTAAATGTAAAGAAGACACACTTGCATATGGAAACTTACTGGTTCATATATTATTATTGTGATAAACGAGAAGACAAACGATACGAATTTGCTGACCTCTGGCATGTGTCGGTAGGATTAATACTCTACATGTGGAACGATACAACTTGTTTGGAGGTCAAAGGACAACTCAAGGAAATGAACTGAACGAAGTGGATGCTTTGAAAATGAGAAAGCGACTCGAAGAGAAAGGGACGATGTGGATTGTGTTGGTCAGATGTTTCGCGCGGGTACCTCACCTCATTCTATAATGGACTCTTCTGTCTAGATACAGCGTGTGAACACTGGAATAGGCTTTTTGTCCTCGAAATATTTTTAGTTCCATGGGTAAGAAAGAAATGGCAATATGTAGAGAAATTTTCCGGGCTGTTGTACGTGGTTACTTGCATGAGATATATTTTGATTCTATTGTGTTGAAGCGAGAACAGTTGTCATTTAAGAGCTAGAAGATTATGTTTCTAAATGCCTGGGCTTTGAACACAGGTATTTTAGTTGCTAAGCGAGCTTGGAATGTGAGTGTTATCTTGTGTGCAGGATATGTTATGTTTAAATTGAGTGATGCATATTATGAAATTTAAACAGGAAACACGAAGAAAATAAAGGAAGTACGTTAAGGATGAAAGAAGTACGGTAAATATGAAGAAAGTACGCTAAGTATGAAGGAAGTACTGGAAGTATGAAGATAGTACAGGAAGTACGAGAAGTTGATAAAATATTCTCACCTAACTGGTGATCAGATACTCTCTTCATACAGGCCCTCAAGTCAGAGAGAATAACCCAAATAAAATTATATTCAAAACTATTTAACTAATATCAAAATTACACTTTGATAACTTTACAAAGATAACTAAAATAATTCTTTAATAAAACTAAATAACATACATTTTCTTCAGGAAGTATTGAACTTTTGGCCAGTAGTTAACCCCTCGTATATACCAGCTACATGCCACTGTCTATCAATAATAAAATTCATCATTTGTTTTGAAAGGATTAGATTGTTTCCTGCAAAGGTCAATGTGTAGGCTGATGTTCTGAAGAATGAGATAATTGAACCGATTTTTAATGAATAGAACTCAACTAATATTGTACATATTAAATTAATTCATTTATCATACAGCTATTAGAAAATAAATTAAAATAAACAGAAAAAACAAATGTCAATTTGCTGTAGACTGGCCGGCAAGATGTCCATATCTGACGTCGCTTGACTTTTTCGGAATGCTATTTAAAACCTCAATTATTAACGAGTTTGAACTTCTCTGGTGACATAAAAATTGACGTTGTTTTAATTAAAAATATAAGTTATTTTTGTTTTCAAATGAAAGTACTATTTAAATATATAAAGATGCAACATACTTGTAAAAATCCGTAGGCGTAGGTAAAGGCTCCTGGCAAAAAAGTGTTATTTACAAATATTCCCCATGCAAACACAGCTCCAAGGTGGTTCTCCACTAAATATCCTATAGTCCAAGGACCTACAGCTAAGTACAACGGGTAAAGGACAATAGGCCAGAATATTCTATCAACTGTACACAGAATCCATATTTTCTGCAAGAGCGAGTAACAACATGATTGCCTCAATTTCGGTTTTACCATCTGACCACCTACAGCACAAAGAATAAATATCAATATTACTAGAAATTATTAAATATTTTAATTACTGACCTGCTACCAATCTATGCAGATATCTAATGACGAAAAGGGGCACTATGGAGAGAGATAACGTTACAAAGAACATAGTTTGGAACTAAAAAAATAAAATATAAAAAAAAATTAAAGTAAAAACTACAAAACAAATGTATAAACTTACCAATATGCTCGCGTTTGACATCAGAGCGATTTTTGGTAATATCCCAAAAGATAGTTTTGTTCCATCCAGAGCAAATAACTGAGTTTCATATTTTTCCCTACCTTCCACATCCCTCACATAAATCTAAAATAAAAATAATCGATTTGTCTAAAAATGTATCTTATAAGTGACTTATTTTTAAGTTTAGAGTCAAAATTTGGGTGGTTCATCATTTTTGGTAGCTCAATCTGTCGAGCGCCGTGTATTCATTTACTTGCTAATATAGGAGACTTTCAGATTTGATGGATGCCGTATTAGTAGTAATTTAATTTCTGTTAATACAACATCCAGTTCACAAATAATAGTGAGTTACTGTTTCGATGATGGTGGGTGTTTTCCTCACCTGTTGCAAGTTAAGTAATAATACCAATAATATAAATAATAATAATAACACTATCCCAAATTCAGCCCCTTCCAGTGAATTTCAATCCCTGAAGTCAACTAAGCTTGTGTGGGGAAGGGACACCTATTAATAATATTATTTGCAATGGCGCTCCGCGGCCACTTAAAGATTTTTAATGGTGCCATTTGACTTACAGGTGAGGAAAACCTCACCATCATAATGCCAGCATCAATCATCTGTAAGTGTCCCCGGAGCGTCACGGAAAATAATAATACCATTTTTTTTATTAACTATAAGGACCAAAAAAAATAGTACCAATTACAGTAATCTGCATATACGAGTCAAAAAAATAAAGAAAAAAAATAAAGAAAAAATATAAAACGTAAAAACCGCCACATTTGCAGATGACACTGCTTTCCTAGCAAGAGGAACGAATATGGAAAAAGCTACTCAAAAGTTACAAAATTCCACGTAAGAATAAAAAATTCAACGAATAGGCCAAAAAGTGGAGAGTCAAACTTAATGAAGATAAATCGGTAGACATGAACTTTACAAATAAAACATACAACTAATATAATAAACAGAATGGATGGATGTACCATACGAAAACAGCGAAATATCTAGAAATTAATCTAGATAAAAAGCTGAGATGGAGGGAGCATGTAAAAAAATGAATAGGGAAAACTAGACGTATGACACAGAAAAATGTATTGGCTCATAGCCAGAAAATCTCAAACGACAATACATAACAAATTGCTCATAACTAAATAAAAAATCACATATGACAATATAGTATGAGCAGATTATGAAACCCATTTAGATATGTCTTTCAGCATTGAGGCTTCGCTAGATTTACCAAGCATAACAGCTATTCCAAAATTTTTCGAAACATCGTGGACGTTTCATTTTATTTACGAAACACGAGTCTACACAAGGATCTCAACATGGTAACGGCTCTGTCACGAAATTTAAGGTTAAGTGGAGGAGCAGTTCATCGCGGATATTCTGTCAACGAATGAACTGAACTTCGTTTTTTAATTTCTGTTAACTATGTAATATATTGTTACGCAGTACCCTGTAGCGTGCTGCAGTCGACATAAGTAAAGGTACGAGTAAAAGAAGGGGGCATATTCGAGAAATTTAATTCCACGTCAAGAAAAATCTGGACAGTTCGAGAAGGTGAAAGCAAGCTATATAAGTCAGTGATCCTGACGTCCGGCAGTCAGTAAATGAGATCATAAAAACCGGCGTAACATTGGTGACAGCGGTGGGATATATAAAATAAAAATAACCCAAAAACTCTATACATGGTAAATACTAGATCCACTGCGCACGAAACAGATATATACAGATACTTCAGTACCACCAGCATGGTTTTCGAAGATGAAAGAGGAGAAAATAGGCAAGAAGATGAAAGGGAAAGGCGAGAAGATGAAAGGGAAAGGCGAGAAGATGAAAGGGAAAGGCGAGAAGAAGAAAAGGAAAGACGAGAAAAGGAAAGGCGTAGAAAGGAAGAAGAGGAGGAAAGATAAAGGCGAAGGAAGAAGAGTAGTCAAGAGAAAGGCGCAGGAAAGCAGAAAAGGAAAGGCACAGGAAGGACGAAGAGTTGAACTTATGAATGGTTTGCTACAAATCCAGGAAACCTTTAAGCAAGAGGTTGGTCAACTTATTATTAGAGTAGATCTTATAAAACACAAGGAGAATTTAAAACAATAGGAAAAGGCTAGAGTAGAGTTCGAAAGGCCAATTAGAACTGAACTAGTGGAGTTACAAAGAAGAATTCGTAGCCAAGTTTCAATAAGCAACAGAGAAACTGAAAACACTACCTCGTCCTCATCTATAACCGAACCAAGCCATATCCAAAACCCAGTTTAACAAATCCATACTAGCAAGACCATTAAGCCACCCACGTTTGACGGTCAGACAACATGGGAAACGTATCGACTCCAATTTAAAGCTACAGCTAGAGCCAATGGCTGGACTGAGAAAGAGATGGGGGCTTCATTGATAGTGTCGCTGCGAGAACAGGCAGTAACCGTTTTACAGTTACTTGCCCAAGAAGAACCCAGTTATTCATCTCTCGTCCAAGTTTTGGAGACAAGATATGGCCAGCAGTATTTAAAATGGGTATTTCAAAGCCAGCTAAAGGTTCGTATTCAGAAATATAATGAGTTTACAGGAATTCGAGGCCGACATAAGATTGATTCATCTGGCCTATCCACAGGCGCCCAAAGAGTTCAAAGAACAAATAGACATACAGGCATTTATTGATGGACTACAAGATGTGGAAATGCAGCAAACCCTTCGTTTACAACATCACAAGACGATGAGGGAGAAACTAATTGCAGCCCAGGAATATGAAGCGGTAAAACTCCTATCCAGATCTTCTCGCGCAAAAGTGAGAGAAACTAAATCCCAGGAAAGTGAGGAGGCCAATACTAATACTATTCTCCAACCTCCACTTTCACAAATCTTAAATCTCCTGCAAAATATGCAACGAAACAGTCAAAATAGAAGCAGAAGATGCTTTAATTGCGGAAGAATCAGGCACCTTCAAAGGACCTGCAGAAGCAGGGCGTGCTCTATAAATCAAGAATCAGGGAATAAGGCCAGAAAGTCACATAGATCAATCTCCCGAAGCCCGTCACAAAGTCCAACAAGAAATAATGACAGCAGCTATGCGTCCCGGAGAATCCAATCACCCACACCTATCCGGCTTTTTAGCAATAACCAGGAAGTAGAGCATCGAAGAGGCCGTCTCCACAGCAACGCAGATATTCTCTCAAGGCGGCCCTGTTTAGAACAAGAATGCCGGTACAGTAAAAGGCTACGAGAACGAAACGAACCAGTTGATAAAGTTACTCTTCAGGCAACCACTATCAAGCCAGAGGGCGACGAAGAAGAAATCACCCTTGAAAAACTAAGAAAAGGGCAGAAGAAAGACAATGATTTGAAGGTTGTCCGAGAATGGCTCAAAAATAGTCACACCTACTTGGCAAGAGATAACCAAATACAGTGAAGCTATTAAAGGGTACTAGACTTATTAGGATTTACTGTTCTCCTACGGCTCCTACGCAATCCTTAAGGAAAGTCATCGACCTGATCTACCGCATTCAGTTGTCAGCGGGAAGTAAATCCAAGGTAGTTCACATTGGAAAGTTAGCGCCATGCTCCCAGATCCTCCCCGTTAGCTCCAACAAGGTCTCACTAACCAAGTTATTCTGGGGCGAATAACTATAGAGGAGGGAGCAATGTTATGCTGCACTCTGCATCGTGCTGCGGTCGTCATAAGTAAAAGTACGTGTAAAAGAAGAAGGGGGAATATTCGAGAAATGTCATTCCACGTTAAGAAAATTCTGGACAATTCGAGAAGGTTCGAGAAGGGTCAAGCTATATAAGTGGATGATCCTGATGTCAGTAATCAGTTTTATGATAGACGTTATATGTTAATGTTATCAGTTGCATAGTTATTTTAAAAATTGAAATAAATTGAGATACCAAAAACCTGCGTAACAATAGAAATATCCCCGTTCTGATGCCTTAATTTGTTATACTTGCTCCTCCGTTCAATGAGGTAAGATTCATCATCATAATTTAATAATATTAGTATAATTGACAATAATTGCATATTTTCCCTTGTACAGATAACCCAACTGTTTTGCATTAACACTAGTAAAAAAATGTAAGGGTATAGTTCATAAAAAAAATAAGAATAATAGTTAATGATCAGTAAATGGACCCCGTTATCTAATTGCGCTTTAAGCAACATTTACATGTTATCGAGACTCAGGAATAGAAAGCTTTTTAATTTTGTTAAATTGGCCTAAGTCATAGTTAATAACTCAGTAAAATAGGGAATATTAACTAAGAATAAGCTTTGCAATATAGGTTTCAATGATTATTAAAGGATGGTACCATTTACTCGATTTTTGTCACTTAATTCGTTATTGGATAATGCGTTTCAAATATAATTATTAAAAAAAAAATAATAATAATAGCGAAGGCACAAAAAAGGGTCAGAAACCTGTTACAAATCAATACAACTGTTGTTTTATTGAATATACACCTATATTCCAAGAATATCACAACTAAAATAATAGTCTTCCTTCCCCACGCAAGCTATTCAGAGCTTCAGGGGTTCAGTCGTAAGGGGGTGAATTATACTGAGGGTATTATTAATGTTATATCAATTCATCCAACGATTTCTAGTGAAATCGTAATAATCCAATTGTGTCAGGACCATCGAGTCCTGGAATAACTCATTGCGACTGGCAGTTCCCAAAAATGAATAAGTTTTCATAGAGGACAAAAGTTTTAATACTAGTAAGTACGATGTGATACAATAATACGTATCACTTAAATGGTATGTATTCCGAAATGGCCCATGCCCCCGTAGTAAATAAATGGGAACACAGACATGGCCATCATCATAACTGTAAAATATGCTTTTAATTTGGTGCGAGAACAAAATATATGAAAAAGCACCTGTCAAACGGACAGTTTTTTTTATAGAAATAAAGGAAAATACGAAAAACTCACAGACCCTGTCATAGAAACTTCGAGCGACCGATTCAATGCGGAAAACAACTACTTCTTTGGCTAATACTATAACAAGAATTGAATTATATCCAAAGAAAAGCAGCAGAGATAGAAAACTATTGTCAATACTCTACCTCTAGCTTTTGCTTACTGAGGAGAACGTTATTCTTGAACCAGTTTCGTCTTTATTGAGACTAATCAGCAAGGAAGAGACATTTTCACTTCCAATTACTAATGGAAGTTGTAGAGGTGCGATATTCACTCGCCATCTACTTTTAGTAATCAAAATCAAAGGTCGCAGTGCAGTTCATAGAACAAGGCAGAATGATAACCAGACAAATTTAGAAATAAAAATAAAGGGAAGTAAGAGAAAGTTAACGACCAGGTTTATGTTTTTCTTTTTACGTATATAGCCGTACCCAAAGTTTTTAAGACGTTTTAAACATTTTAAATCATTTAGTTGACGTTTAAGAATGACAGCATATAAAAAAAGCAGTACTCGTGCCTAAAACTAATAATTAAAGTTAAATCGAAAATTCTGAAAATCAATCTAGTTTACAGCTGGAAGAAAGATCTACTAAAGTGAAAACGGCAGTTCGATCAGAGATTTCGTTCGTGAATTATCGTGTCGCCGCACATAAGCGCGCACAGACGATATTTTTTGTGATTGCGTAAGAAAATGTTCTCGTCGGCACGAATGCAATACTGAAGCCCCATAGCTAGGCGATTCCTCGGTAAACGTTTCTAATATTAGAATCGCTGGAAAAAATTGTTCCTATACTGACCAAAATTAACGTTTTTTGCAACTGTAGTATAAGGATACTTTCAGGACAAACCTCGTATATAACCATGCATTTTGGCTGTAACATTAATAAATATCCTGCAGATTTTACCTCTTACCTCTAGCCTGTGAAGACCATGTAAAAATTTTCTAGGATTCCATGGTGTAACAAACAAAGGCCCTTTCACTCTTTTACAATATTCCCAATTTTCGCTATCTAATTTCACTCTTATATAATCTATAGTTGACAAAGAAAACGCAAGTATTCTAAAAAAAAAATCAGATAAATATTAACTAGATAAATTAGGAAGTGGATCACAATTTTACCTTATATGAGTCGAATTTTTTATAACATCCAAATTTTCCTTAGATGGATTGAAAAATAGAGCATCTTTTGGATTAGTCACTAGAACGACAGGCCAATGCCTGTGCTGTATGTCAATAAACGATAAAAAACCATGGTCAATAGCTAACAAACGGTATCTAAAATATTATAATTCAAAATATATAAAGATTAATTGAAGAAATATTCTGCTAAGGTGGAAAAATTAATTCCATTTACATAGAAAGTCAAAACTACAAAAAGTTATCCAAAATTTAATGACAGTCCATTTTTACAACTGTTTTTAAAACAATTTCTTCTTATAAATCTAATTTCGCCATTTTATTTTTAGTCCTCGTTTTTAAATGTTTCTTCATATTTGTTTAATGTAATTTTTAAATTTAAATTTGACTGTTAAATTTTTTCTCAACTAAAAGAGATATCTCTTTTTCACTTATTTAAACAACAATGTTTACCTAATATATATATGTAGACACAGTGACCATTCTAACGCCCTTTATGTTAACCTATGTAGCTAATCCGTAATGGATATGCCATGGTAAGTCAAATTACCATTAACCTTTTTCTTCACCCTTTATTGTTTTGCTCAAATTTCATTTTTTGTATGAAATATTTTTAATTTTCAGTACATTGACTCCTTGACTGTCCATTTTGGTGCGCCTGAAGATGAAGCAAACCTACTTCGAAACCGGTTATTAATTACATTGACATTCTTTGTGTTCTTTCTACCTTCGCACTCAATCCCATCCACTTGCATATGACTACCCTTATCCTTAATAAATAAATCAAACTTTTTGATAAATGACAGCATGCCACTTCCAATGTCATGACACTGGCATTAAATGTCTCTTCTAATTTCGCCTTATATTTATTTGTTTGTGGTTATCATATCCTTTAATGTGTTTACATTTTTGAAATGTTACTGACAATACGCTTGTCTATTATAGGATAAGTCCATGCTCGAATATAAAGATAGAAATAAACGGGACCAAGCAGAAGAAGTGCTTTTAAAAAGTTATAAGATAGAAAACGTAGAAGGATTAAGGGAAAAAATTAAATTAATTCTCAGATCATTCAACAATAAATTTTGACATGTTCTGACGCTGATGTAATTTATAGGCTCATGCTCCACTGGTATGATTGTGCAACACATCGCATGTGTCGGTGAACACCTAGTGCAGTAACATCGAATGTTGAACACTGTAATGACATTAGTTGTCACAACATCAATATCATTATCTGAACGAGCATTTACGAACATGTGTGCTTAAATGATCTAAAAATATTTTTGACTTACACCCTGTTATCCTTCCAGTCTCCCAGTTCTAATTCTAAAAAACCAGCCTGCTGTAGTGTATACATATTCGGTATCAAACCGCCGAGCTTGTGTAAATGTCCACAAACGTAGACCAAGCCTGGTTTGTGTCTTCCAATAATGTCTCTCACATTATCGTTGCCAGGTGACAAGATGCATGACGTTGGAAAATGCCCGAAAAATACTGTATAATTATTAGGACCAGATTCTGTTTGCAATATTAGAGAGTGCAATTCTTTTACTTCGAGATCATCTAGGTGCCCAATAAAGTTGAACGGTCTTCTTGGACCTGTAAGAAAAATTGCTTGGTTTTTATGTGTAATTTTTATTATACTAAACAATCTTCTTTTTTTAGAGAACGTACAATTTTTGGGAATGTTCACATTGGTAACAAATTAAGGAGGTCCTTTCGCCACACCTCTCGCCTCAAATGTTAAAAAAAAAGTTATTAGATTATGACTAAAATTAATTTTTTTCTAATAGTTGAAGTCCTTATTTATCTAATACCGAACTTTTAACTATACCTTACCTTGCACATTTTTGAGAATTTTTTTTTTCACGAGAAAGTAAGTCCTCAACAACAATTCTCGAATTATACTTTTATTTATTGATTAGATGGAGTAGAAAAAAACTAAAAGTAAGGTTTTTGAAATATTTAGATTTTGTTTTATACAATAAAATATATATAGTAAACCGTGGAACTTATTGAGAAATTAATATTAAAAAATCACAAAAAATTTTCAAGTAATCTAGTTGAAAATTTTTTGTGATTTTTTAATAATAATTTCTCAATAAATTCCACGGTAACCTATATATTTTATTGTAAAAAAACAAAATCTAAATATTTCAAAAACCTTATTTTTAGTTTTTTCCTACTCCATCTAATCAATAAATAATAGTAAAATTAATTATAATTCGAAAATTGTTGTTGAAGTCTTACTTTCTCATAAGACACTGTACAAACACACACATTAAAAAAAAAAAAAAACTCAAAAATTTGCACGGTAAGGTATAGTTAAAAGTTCACTATTAGATAAATAAGGACATCTACTATTAGAAAAAAATTAATTTTAGTCATTATCTAATATTTTTTATTTAACATTGGTGGCGAAAGGACCTCCTTAAACAGGCAGCACAATAAGTGATTTAAATACAACCAATAACATAAATTGTAATCTCTTAAATAACTTTTGAATTTTGAAAGAGTATTCAAAAATTCAATAGAGTGTATTTTCTTAGTTCTATGCAGGCACAATTAAGAAAAAATTAATTTATAAGAATAGTTGTTATTAGAACAAAAATTAATGTTTGCTAAATGATGAATTATTATTGAATAAGTATTATAAAAGTGGTTTACATTTGTATCCTAAGTCTATAAAAAAATATTAAATAATTTGAATGAAGTTAAAACTCTATATTTTTAAAATATCTAATATTTTGTTAATATAATTACTGAGAAGCCATCAGTATATGATATTTATAATGTTTACAAATAATGACGTCTACATAATTTATATACAAAATAAAACATAAGTCCCAATATGGAACCCTGAGGCCTTCCATTTTTATGAGTATATCTGTTAGTTGTATGAACTGATTCTTAAATTAATTATATTAATAAAACTTCTCACAGCCATTCAGAAAGGTCGAAATCCAATGCAATATAAATCATCAACTACTATATTAATACTGCAAAAAATGAAATCCGCCAATCACTGTTCATATTTTGGTCAACCGACTGCTATTATTTTTAAAATTTTCAATAAGTGACAATTCTGTCAAACTGATTGTCAGTATATTTTTTAGTTATTGAGATCAAACATACATACATTAAAATGGGTTATTATTGTGTAGAATCAATAAATAATAGCATTTCTTTTTTTATTTCGTCTATAATTATAAATAATTTGTTAATTTAAATAAAACTATATGAAGTCAATTTAACTACGAGTATTAAAGCAACAAAAATAAAAGAGTAGGTGGTCTTGTGGTTAGCGTTCTTGCCTTCCACGCAGAGGATTAGAGTTCGATTCTCGGATGTGGAAAAATTAAATTAACTTTTTTCTTTTTTTTTCGTTTATTTTATTTTAAAAATTATTAAGAGTCATAAATTATTTTAAAATTAGTTATTATGTCTTAATAACCTAAAATATTTTTGTAAATTTTCATTAGTGGGTCGTAGAAAAAATATACTGTAAAACTCGAGTGGATTGTCCACATCGCACTCAGACGATTTAGCCCAAATTTCGTCTTCGTGCGATATGGCCATTATATTCACTCTTGTTGCACAAACTACTATTCTGGTTCATAAGTGTCGTTATTATAACGGTGGATAGAACCGGCCAATACCAAAAAGATTTTCATTTGTCTTTTGCTTATCAAGACATGGCGTTGTTCCATTAATTTATTTAAATATGTTGGCTAATTCGCTATATTGGTGTGACTTAATATTTGTTCCACTGATAGTTAACAATAAAAACAATTTATTCTGTCATTAAATTTGACATGCACGTTTTTTGTTTTTTAAAATATGCACCACAAATGTTTCTAAAGTAGGCCATGAGCAACAAAGGGAGAGATACGAGTCATGCCCTCGATAATAACTGAGGAGCTTGCACGCAAAACTTAACAAGTCCAGCATAACTCAAAAGTCAGAAAAGTAATATTTTCCATACAGTTTTAGGATATATTTTAGCCAAAAATGTTTCAAAAATCGCTCGCAGATTCTGATTTATACAAAGAAACAGTTTGAACTTGTTTAGTTTTGCTTGAAAGGATGGGACTTGTTAAGTTTTGCTACAAATTACATAGTTACGTGTTCTGTTTTGTTGTAATAATAATGAGAATAATACAGAAAAAACACTGTTATGCTATGGATTTTTTTTATTAAGATTTACTAATTCACTAAAAAAAAACTACCTTTTAACAAATCTATCAGAAAAAAATATGTTTTTAATACCTACGTTATTGTTAAAAAAAAAGAAACAGTAAACATCACTTTATTAAAAAAAAAGAACTAAAAAGAATTAAATTTGAAGGGCAATCTCGTCCTCAACGCAATCACATATTTCTTTAGCATGTACATAACATTTATGGAATTGCTACTGTCTGTCTCTAAATTCCACTGCAATACCGGAACCACCTATAACTCTAGAGAAGTTGTTCGATTTTCGTTTAAGAACGGTGTATAAATAGGGGCCTAAATCTCACACCGACAAATAATCAAAACAATTCTGAGAGCTTACTCTTCTATCTTTACGTTAAAATTTTACTCGATACAAATAGATGGAACCGTATTAAATAGTGCATTGATCAAATTAATAAAGGGCCATAAATACTTGTTCAATTTTGCGGTGAAAGGGTTTATTTCTAATATAATAAATTATGGACATTTGTTAAGTTTTGTTATTAAATAGTACATAAATTTATGGCAACGTAATTTGTTCAGTTTTGTTAAACAATAGGAGTTTGATAATACCTTTAGAATATAATTTTGTCTCATTTTGGAGTAAAATTGATGTGGACTTGTTAGCATTTTAAAGCGATTTTGCGCAATAACTCATTTATTTCAGATGTTGGACTTTTTAAGTTTTGGGCGCAAGATCGTCAACTATGGTTTTAATGTTTGTCAGATTTATAAAGTACAGAGTGGGTTATAGAAAGACATTTTATTAATTTGGATTTTTGAAAAATAATGGTATATTCACAATAAAATATTTAAATTAAAAAGATATTGACATTTATATGTATGTGTATAAATTTATCAATATTAACAGGAAGTAAAATGTAAAGAAGTAAAATGTAAAGAACTAAAATTTATTATAGTATTAACCCTAAATGAAAAATCATTAAAAAGTTAAATTAAAATTGTTAAGGTCTAATCATATTCAGATTTTATTTTTACACATATTTATAAATTGTAAGTTTACATCCACAATTTTTGTAGATAAGCACTGATGATGGCACCATGCCAAAAGCACTTTGCATTTATTAATTAAAAAGTTTTGCACGAAATACAAGTCTTTCCTTTTGAATCTAAACTACGTGCACATAGCTGTGAACCTTTTTTGGTTATTTTAATCTAATCTTTTTATTTCGCATATAAGTAAAAAATAATTTTGTCCACGACCACTTAATAATAGATCAAAATTCTACCTCCTAAGAGCATATGGTACCCATATATCACTAAAGTGAATTATGATAATTCACGCTTTTGTAATTTTGGCATATTCCGGTAGGTGAGTAGATGGGCGATACTTTTCATAACGATATTTTCTATATGTACTTCAGATTTTGTGATTTATCACATGATTTTGTCATAAATATTTTAGTCATATGTAGAATTAAAATGATACCATTTTCATGTGATAAAATCATATGATAAATCACATAATCTGAAGTGCACTTAATATTGATTTTAAATATTATATCGATACGGCGAATAGATACTTTACACAGTATCGCCCACCTCTATTCGCTCCGTGCCCGACAGCAGCGACAATTCGTTTTGGTACTAATGGACTATTTCTGCGTATACTGACAAATAGAATTTTTAATAGAATTCGTAATTAAAAAGTATATATGTTACTTTTAATAAAAGGATATGGATTTGTAAAACAAGTAAAACATTAATTTATTATTATTATATATTTTTATGGCTTAAATTAAAGAAAATTATGTATATTCAATAAAAATCAATAATAAAATATAGGCAGGCAACAGTATTTACTAGAAAAATGTATGAGAAGTTGCCTAAGTCTAATAAGTTGTCATTGAAGAATTAGCCTATTCTGTCAAAATAAAAAAATACCATTTAATAATAGCGAGAAGTTAAAATGTATAAAAAAAAATCGTTATTTATATTTTCATTTTTGTTAGAAAGAAAACATAGAAAGAATGATTAAAACTGGTTTCCCTTCAGTAAGTCACAAAATTGCATTCCAGCCACATATAATAATCAAAGGCAGAAATCATGAAATCTAGTCCTTGCTGAATGAACATTTAAGAATAAAGGGATATTAAAGAACATCGTAAAATGATAATTTATTGTTTATTTAAAACCTTTCAAGTTTCTGATGTCTACTATTTCCAGCATTTTTCATCTTATTGTAGGTACACCTATAAATTTATTTCTTTGAGGTAATTTCCACTTTGCTACTGAAATTTTTTATATAAGTTTCACCGTTTTTTTTTGCTAGTATTTGTACAATTTTCAACGCAGCAACTCTGGTTGCTTATTGTATTGTTTTTACCTCCTTTTTCGAAAAAAAGTAAAATGTATACGTGTAT